AGCGGGGGGGTTGGATGGGTTGGGGGTTCTGTGGGGGGCAGTCAGGAGGCAGGAAGTGGGAGGGAGTCGATAGGGGGCGGGACTACCCCCCCACATGGAGTGTCCTCTTTTTTGAAAGTTCAAATATGGTAACCCTAAAGTTGCCCCCTACGGTTGGGGGGTGCCTGGGTTCCCCCCTTGTGAGCATTTAAGGGTGAATCTTCCCCATGGCCATGGGGAGCATGGGGGGAGGGGCGTCATCGCCTGCCTCTGGCTCTCCACCTTCCCCCAGCTGGTCAGAGGTGCCACAGTTCAGCTGGAGTTTTGGCCGAAAAACAAATCCCTCCACACACACCCCATCCACCGACCCCAACTCTGTGAGTGGGGAGCCCATCCCCATCCCCCCCACCCCCATTCCCTTTCCACCTCCTCCCCATCTCCTGTTTCCCCTCAAACACCCATCCCGTCGCCCCTCCAGCACCCACCCACCTGCCCCCTTTCTGTCTCCCCTCAAATTCCTTTCCCCGACTCCCTCCCTGATCTCAGCCCATCTCCCCCTAATCCCTACATCCCCCAATCTTGGCCTGTCCCCCAAAACCCCCGTACCCTGCTGCTTTTTGCAGAGGGTCTCACAGGCCCAGAGGGCTCAGGGGGTTGGAAACTCTCTCCCTCGCCAGCATTACACAGGCCGGGGGCCGGGGCTCGTTTCAAACCGAGCCCCTGGTTCTACTCGGCTCCTGGGCAAACCCCCAGCAGCAGCCGTTCAAAGGCAAAGCTTTCGGGTTAAACCCCCGGACAAGGAATCAAACCCGGCCTGACTATTGAAATGGGGGCTGAGCGACCGGAGTCAGACCGGCTCCAAGTCTCGCTGCTTCGGGAGTCACCGGAGCAGAGCCGCTTGTTTCCAGAACAGCTGGGCTTTGAGGGGAGGAACCGGTTCATTTCACTCGCCGGACGGACGGGCAGGGCGGCCGCTGATCCCGCTCCTAGTGTAAGTGGGGGAATGATCCCGCTATCGTGGGGAACTTTCCTGGCTTATACATGCCCTGGTGGGATTGGCTAGCGAAAAGATCTGAGTCCTCGCTCCCACTCCCTTTACCCAGAGGCCTGCCTGACCTCGAGGGCTCCCCTTCCTCCCTCCCGTGCGGCAGAGTCCTCGTAACCCCGGCAAGGCTGGGCCCCGGATCCCTGGGGGCTCGACCCCCAGTCTTGTCGTGGTCACTTAGGACAGGGGCGAGGGTGTCCCCACTCGGGGGCCCTCTCTTTGCACCGGCTGCTTCCCTGACTGATCAGTACACAGAGTTCAGAGCAAGTACAATTTATTAAACAGCAACTCATAAAAAACAAGTAAAAATGGGGAAGGTTAAAGGAAACAAGTCACCCGCCCTCTGGGCACAGGGACACCACAAACAGAAGTCTCTGCACGGGAAAGGAAGTTCACAAGTCTGTTCTTCAAATGTTCCACGTCTCTTTCCCAGGCCCTGGTCACGGCAAGGTGATACTACATAGTGACAATCTGTATCTCAAAGTAGCACCGTGGAGCCCCCGTATTCACCACTACGATAGAATTATGATAGATTGGGTACAAAGTTGCCTTGTGAGGCATCTTTTTAAAGTCTTGATCTCTTGAACATTCATGTCCTGTTGCATTGTATGTGCTATCGTTGTGTGGGAAGTTCTGAAGCATTGCTGTGTGTGCTACTGAAATATGTTTTGAGCTTGGGAGATGCCCACAGCCAACCTTTCAACTGCAACAGAGGATCAGGCAGATACTGTTAATCGCTCATCAACACCCATCAAGGAAAGAATCCACTATCCCAGAGACTGTGTACAATGGAGATTGCTGGACCAATAGGGACTGCCTGATCCCCGGGTCACAGAAAAGATCTTTCCAGCAAACTGGAAGAAAATATAAAAGAGGGGAAGGGACATAATCCCTGGGCTTCTCTTCCCCACAACTCAACATCTGGAGGAACATCTGGAGAACAAAGACTTTGCACTGGGGAAGGGTGGTCCCAAGCTGGAATGGAGTCCAGTCTGTGTATTGAGGATCTGTAAACTGCTTGTACCATCTGTCAGGGGGAGACACTGCCCGATTCAAATCCTGTTTCGTTTTAGCCAACTCTGATCTCTGCACCTGCTCCTTCTAACCACTTACAATCTCTCCTTCTGCAGTTAATGAATCTGTTTTATATTTGACCTAAAAAAACAGTGTGTTTGGTTGAAGTCCTGGTCGGGCGGTGCTTACTTCAGGTGGCTCCTGGTGGTCGGCGCAGTGGGGCTCAGGCAGGCTCCCTGTCTGCTCTGGCCCCGCGCTGCTCCCAGTAGCAGCCGGAACCACCCTGTGGCTCCTCGGAGTTAGAATAATAGATTCATAGACTTTAAGGTCAGAAGGGACCATTATGATCGTCTAGTCTGACCTCCTGCACAACGCAGGCCACAGAATCTCACCCACCCACTCCTGTATCAAACCTGTGTCTGAGCCATTGAAGTCCTCAAATCATGCTTTAAAGACTTCAAGGTGCAGAGAATCTTCCAGCAAGTGACCCGTGCCCCACGCTGCAGAGGAAGGCGAAAACCCCCCAAGGCCTCTGCCAATCTGCCCTGGAGAAAAATTCCTTCCCGACCCCAAA